TCCTCAATTCCTCACAAGAGACAATATACCTACCAGTCCATGATGTGGGGATTAGAACTCCTCCCATGTGCACTATCAACAGGGCCACCCCAGTTCTCACTTACTGTGTTCTACAGTGTCTGCTATTGTATTTGAACAAGAACAACTCGCAAACATGTTAGTTGTGACAATACTGGAGACAGTTGTGTGAGTATTTGGTGCACAGGTGCGAGACAGCCATCTCGCGAACCACTGTTGTCAGGCAGCAGGGCGCTGGTTTTGATTGGAACAAATTACATGTTTCCAACATGTCATATGCTGCACAATGTGACATCTTCACCGCAGGAACAACTCTTCAGTTTCTTTTGAGACACGAGGTGAACATGTTTCCGCTGTTCTGTGTTAAATCTAAGCTTTGTCCTGCCTCGTGCCTGTTTCGTATCTTTCCGGTGTACACGTGAAGATCTAGGGTAGAATAGGTCTTCAGCAACCCACTCTTGCGGTAAAAGGTGACTATGCTTGTCGTGAGAGGTGACTAACAGGATCAGGTGGACAGACTCGTTGACTTGGCTGATGCATGTCATCGTATCCCAGTTCCATAGATCGATGCTAATGATGTCAATCACTGGATTGTCTGGTTCAGACTTGATTATTTACAGACTGCCGTCATATAGCTGGAATAATGCTGAGTGCGACGTTCATCTACAAACGACAGAGTAAACAGACAGCTGCTGCACATGCCGCAGGTTGCCTCACTTTCTACTGCACATGTTTGCATCACTTGAACGCTCGGACAGAATCACATGATCAGGGGTTCAAATCCCCAATCTTTCTCTTTCTCTCTTTTTCTCTCTTTCACTCTCTCTTTCTCTTTTTCTCTTTCACTCTCTCTCTCTCTCTCTTTTTCTCTTTATCTCTCTTTCACTCTCTTTTTCTCTTTATCACTCTTTTACTCTCTTTCTTTTTCTCTTTCTCTCTCTCTTTCTCTTTCTTTCTCTTTTGCTCTCTCTCTCTTCATCTCGCTTTCACTCTCTCTCTCTCTCTCTCTCTCTCTCTCTCTCTCTCTCTCTCTCTCTCTCTCTCTCTCTCTCTCTCTCTCTCATACAGCACACATCCCAACCTGTGGAATGTAGGAGTGGCAAATGACAGTATTAATAACATTTGCAATGAAGAAGATTAAAAAGGAAAGAAAATGTTTGTAGACATAAATAATTGTGTTGTTTCCTCTTGGGCAGAGCATGTTGGTTGTCAGGGGTGAGTTATGGAGGTGTTTGTGACAGTTTTACTGTTGTCACATGGGCTTTGTTTGGGCTGACCTCTCACCTTCGTTTGCACGTTTCCCAAACTGATGACACCTCTTAGTGCACTCAACCTGGTTCATATTGAAGTACCTTTTTATCATCCAAAACTGGCTCCCACAGGAGATATCGCTTGGATGAGATCGCTGCAATGAAATTACATCACAATGCTTTGCAGACCATTGTGACGTCACTGGTTACCATGACATCACAATCAAATGACATCACTAATGGCTCTGCTACTGAAGCCGTTTTCAGTACTTTTTACACTGAAGACACTGCTAATTACTGTCTACAAATTGAAAATGTTGAAAGAATAATGTTGGATGATAAATAAAATCTCACCCTCGTGTCTTTTGATATCAAATATATCAACACTCGTTGATAAAAGTTGCAAAAATCCTCGGCAAGCCTCGGAATTTTTCCACTTTTATCAACTCATGTTGATATATTTGATATCAAAAGACACTCGGGTGAGATTCTCAATATAACAGGAGGAACCTTGGTTCACATTTCTCTGTTAGACGAACCTATGTAGTTTCTGTGTCATGTGAAGGGGTGAAACGATACAGACAGGTCACGATACATAGGTCTCAATATGATATGTATCGCAATACGTGCATTTACATCAAATTGCATGGAAACTTCTTGACAATAAATATTTCAGAGCAGGTTCAAAAGGAAAAGCTAGCTGTAAACACATGTTTGTAGCAGCTATTTTTAGTTCTGAACTTGAAACGCTAATTACAACACATTTTGTAATATCTGACTGACAAAAAACACCAGAAGTCATTAAACAAATAGTAAATAATTAATTTCAGCAAGTGTATCATCTTGTATCAATACAGAATGAAACGTATCGTGTATCGTATCATCAAATGAACATATGATATATCGATTCACCCCTAGAAAAGGGTGTTATACCATCAAGGAAACTTGAGCCAAGAGCTGAGGAGAAGTGTTCATTTTAATACATTGTAACAAGGTATCTTATCTTAGGATTAAGTGTTTTGAATATAGGATTCACTCTGACAACCTTCAGGGTAGTAATGGGCTTACATGGCTGCATCCATTGTATTACTGATAGCTTGTGTTGGTCGCTGTACACTTGTGTCAAGCAACTGGCTCTTGTGTCGATGGTTTGTCAAGCAACTGGCTCTTGTGTCGATGGTTTGTCAAGCAACTGGCTCCTGTGTCGGTGGTTTGTCAAGCAACTGGCTCCTGTGTCGGGACTGAGTCAAGCAACTGGCTCTTGTGTCGGTGGTTTGTCAAGCAACTGGCTCTTGTGTCGGTGGTTTGTCAAGCAACTGGCTCTTGTGTCAGTGGTTTGTCAAGCAACTGGCTCTCGGTCGGTGGTTTGTCAAGCAACTGGCTCTTGTGTCGGTGGTTTGTCAAGCAACTGGCTCTTGTGTCGGTGGTTTGTCAAGCAACTGGCTCTTGTGTCAGTGGTTTGTCAAGCAACTGGCTCTCGGTCGGTGGTGTGTCAAGCAACTGGCTCTTGTGTCGGTGGTGTGTCAAGCAACTGGCTCTCGGTCGGTGGTGTGTCAAGCAACTGGCTCTTGTGTCGATGGTTTGTCAAGCAACTGGCTCTTGTGTCGGTGGTTTGTCAAGCAACTGGCTCCTGTGTCCATGGTGTGTCAAGCAACTGGCTCCTGTGTCGGTGGTTTGTCAAGCAACTGGCTCTTGTGTCAGTGGTTTGTCAAGCAACTGGCTCTCGGTCGGTGGTGTGTCAAGCAACTGGCTCTTGTGTCGGTGGTGTGTCAAGCAACTGGCTCTCGGTCGGTGGTGTGTCAAGCAACTGGCTCTTGTGTCGGTGGTGTGTCAAGCAACTGGCTTCTGTGTGGGTGGTTTGTCAAGCAACTGGCTCTTGTGTCGGTGGTGTGTCAAGCAACTGGCTTCTGTGTCGGTGGTTTGTCAAGCAACTGGCTCTTGTGTCAGTGGTTTGTCAAGCAACTGGCTTCTGTGTCGGTGGTTTGTCAAGCAACTGGCTCCTGCGTCGGTGGTGTGTCAAGCAATCAGCTCCTCTGTTGGTGCTAGTGATATATTTGCAAGGCCAATGATGATTTCAGTAGAGTTAGGCAGCAGGATCGCTGCGCTGACGATGCCAGTAAGTGTAAATCACGTTTTTCCCAGCTCTGCCAATCAGTCTCATACCAGAGGTTAAGTTGACCCAATCAATACAGGCTATGAAGCCAGTGTGTCCGGCAGACTACCCAGTTCTTGCTCCCCGCTATCTGATGCAAGCCTGGGACCAAAGTCACCGTGTTCCGACCGTGTTGCCAGCAGCCGCTGGTGTTATGCAAACATCACGTTCCTACCCACTCTCTCCTCAGGCACTTGTGGAGTAGGGAGGGCACTGTTGGTATGATCATGTAACCAGGCAGAAGGAGGAGGAGGGGTTAGCTTCTTATTCTATTCATATGGCTATAACTTCTCCAAATGTCTATTACTGGTGCACCCACCCACCCCACCCACCCCATTTTCTGATATTTTGACTTTTTTCTCCATTCTGTTGAAATCAACCTCCTGCTTAATGGCTTTCCATAGTTTGCCAATATAATGACTTTCTTCTTTTTTTTCATGACTGCTGCAAGAAAAACTGTTATTTTTCTTATACTGGCTGCAGTGGTGCAGCTGTGTGATGGCCCTAGTGACTGCCCAATGACTCGTAGATTTGCCGCCAGTATAGCTGTGGGTTCTCACACTCACGACACTCACGGTAGATCTGCTGACCTTGTTGATATATTTTGACTGCAAGGTCATCAGATCCTGAGTTCCACTAATTCCCACACAGGATGGGAGATGTTGGAGGATATCCTGGAGGTATGCCCTTGTCAGGGACACTGGGATTGAGATATGCCCTTGTCAGGGACAATGGGATTGAGATATGCCTTGTCAGGGACACTGGGATTGAGATATGCCTTGTCAAGGACACTGGGATTGAGATATGCCTTGTCAGGAACACTGGGATTGAGATATGCCTTGTCAGGGACACTGGGATTGAGATACGCCTTGTCAGGGACACTGGGATTGAGATATGCCCTTGTCAGGGACACTGGGATTGAGATATGCCTTGTCAGGGACACTGGGATTGAGATATGCCTTGTCAGGGACACTGGGATTGAGATATGCCTTGTCACAGACACTGGGATTGAGATATGCCTTGTCAGGGACACTGGGATTGGGATATGCCTTGTCAGGGACACTGGGATTGAGATATGCCTTGTCACAGACACTGGGATTGAGATATGCCCTTGTCAGGGACACTGGGATTGAGATATGCCTCGTCAGGGACACTGGGATTGAGATATGCCCTTGTCAGGGACATTGGGATTGAGATATCCCTTGTCAGGGACACTGGGATTGAGATATGCCTTGTCAAGGACACTGAGATTGAGATATGCCTTGTCACAGACACTGGGATTGAGATATGCCTTGTCAGGGACACTGGGATTGAGATATGCCTTGTCAGGGACACTTGGATTGAGATGTGCCTTGTCAGGGACACTGGGATTGAGATATGCCTTGTCACAGACACTGGGATTGAGATATGCCTTGTCAGGGACACTGGGATTGAGATATGCCTTGTCACAGACACTGGGATTGAGATATGCCTTGTCAGGGACACTGGGATTGAGATATGCCTTGTCAGGGACACTGGGATTGAGATATGCCTTGTCAGGGACACTGGGATTGAGATATGCCTCTTCAGGGACACTGGGATTGAGATATGCCTTGTCAGGGACACTGGGATTGAGATATGCCTTGTCACAGACACTGGGATTGAGATATGCCTTGTCAGGGACACTGGGATTGGGATATGCCTTGTCACAGACACTGGGATTGAGATATGCCTTGTCACAGACACTGGGATTGAGATATGCCCTTGTCAGGGACACTGGGATTGAGATATGCCTCGTCAGGGACACTGGGATTGAGATATGCCCTTGTCAGGGACATTGGGATTGAGATATCCCTTGTCAGGGACACTGGGATTGAGATATGCCTTGTCAAGGACACTGAGATTGAGATATGCCTTGTCACAGACACTGGGATTGAGATATGCCTTGTCAGGGACACTGGGATTGAGATATGCCTTGTCAGGGACACTTGGATTGAGATGTGCCTTGTCAGGGACACTGGGATTGAGATATGCCTTGTCACAGACACTGGGATTGAGATATGCCTTGTCAGGGACACTGGGATTGAGATATGCCTTGTCACAGACACTGGGATTGAGATATGCCTTGTCAGGGACACTGGGATTGAGATATGCCTTGTCAGGGACACTGGGATTGAGATATGCCTTGTCAGGGACACTGGGATTGAGATATGCCTCGTCAGGGACACTGGGATTGAGATATGCCTCGTCAGGGACACTGGGATTGAGATATGCCTTGTCAGGGACACTGGGATTGAGATATGCCTTGTCAAGGACACTGGGATTGAGATATGCCTCGTCAGGGACACTGGGATTGAGATATGCCTTGTCAGGGACACTGGGATTGAGATATGCCTCGTCAGGGACACTGGGATTGAGATATGCCTTGTCAGGGACACTGGGATTGAGATATGCCTCGTCAGGGACACTGGGATTGAGATATGCCCTTTTCAGGGACACTGGGATTGAGATATTCTCATGTCATGTCATGTCATGTCATGTCCATTCCACCATGTAGTTTGAATATGGCAAACATTACGACAGGGATGTACAAGGCATGGATGAGGTCCTCAATGCAGAATCATAGGATCACAATTTATTGTAACATTAAACATTGAAAGAGACCTGTTTGTAGAAAGCCTGCTGCTTGATACTGCATGCATACATTATCTGTCTGGGTTGGCAGACAAGTCTTCACAGTCAATAATTATGTGGCAGCTCATACCATTTCTGCTTCATTTTTCTGGATTTTTGCAACATGCCAAATAAAAGATGCTTTCTGGATAAATCTGATATTCCAACAGACAAATTATATTGGCCTACTAAGTAGAAGTACTTTTTATTTTGATTTGCACCCATTTAATATGAAGAACATGAATCTCTACATGTCCTGATGAGAATTGATTTTTCAGTGTTTCAGCTTGAAATGTCAAAAGTACATATGTGGTATGAATGTTGCAACGATATTTGAAAATTCCCGTCAATCTCAACCCGGAAACGATGTAAATACAGGTGGTAGTTCCTCAGGTTTTTTTTCCTGCATGCATGATCTGCCGGTAAAGCTCAGTCGATGCAAATCAGAGCTGATACATTATGTAAAGGTCACTGATTGGCACTGCCGGAAGACGGAGCGCAGGTCCTCTACTGAGGAATGCTGCCAGCCTGTTCTATATGTGGACTTGTGACTCAACCGATTGAGAATAACTGAGGAAGCCAGGCCGTGCTGTCTGTATGTCAGCCTCGGTCATTGACCTACTCTCCGTACTCAGCCGCAGTGCAGGCGAGGTGGAGCTCCACACAGGGCAGTGATGAGATAACCTGGCCGGCATGATACTCTACAGCCAGCCTCACGCTGACCTGTCGTTCGAGTAGTAGGGATGGAGCTGTAGCCGATGTAGCAGCTGCTGCTACTGCAGTCATGAAATGTTTTGTGGACTTTTTTTGGCATTGATGAGAAACAAGAGTATTCAGAATAATCTGAGATTGATTCCTCGTGGCTGATGGTGTGGAAACAGCTGTCTAACTTGCCTTTGTCAAATCTCCAACATGGCTGCACTGGTTCACATCTTTAACAGAGCAAATCAAATTAGAAATAGTACCTTTACATGCTTATTGCAAATAAAGTACATATATATACATGAATGTAACTGTACATATACATATACATATACATATACATACATATGCAATGCTATACATAACATGTTTATTAAAATGAACGTAATTGTACAATTAGGTATTTGTGACAACAATTGAAATACATGCAACAAAGGGGATATAATATATATATATAGCAGAACATGCTATCAAAAAATTATGAATTATGACTTAATCTTGCAGTTGTACATTCCAAGTTGTTAATGTGTGTAAACATTTTTTTTTTATTTTTTTTTTTTTAGGGGGTGGGGGGAGTAGGGTGTACGTTATTATTTAATCAATGGGGTTTTTGGTGACAGAATACTCCAAAGTTATTGGCCACTGACGCCTTGTTCTTGACATCGGTGGTGACACAGGCTGTGTGGTGGGTATTGCATGACTTGCATTAAAAGCTTGTCTTGTTTCTCCATTTATCATGTTAGTACAGCATGGTTGGCATATAGAGAGCTTGTTGACATTATATACACTCCACACAGTGTGTTTCAAATTGAAGTGGGTCCTAAATGTAGCGACTCTGAATCTGTTTGAATGTTTGAGCACTGTATCAGGGCTCCAGATAATGTTTGATTATTGCATCAGCGCCCGAGATAATGTTTGATTATTGCATCAAGGCTCCATATAATGTTTTGAGCATTGCATCAGGCCTCCAGATAATGTTTGAGCAATGACACAGGGCTCCAGATAATGTTTGAGCAATGACACAGGGCTCCAGATAATGTTTGAGCATTGCATCAGGCCTCCAGATAATGTTTGAGCAATGACACAGGGCTCCAGATAATGTTTGAGCAATGACACAGGGCTCCAGATAATGTTTGAGCAATGACACAGGGCTCCAGATAATGTTTGAGCAATGACACAGGGCTCCAGATAATGTTTGAGCAATGACACAGGGCTCCAGATAATGTTTGAGCAATGACACAGGGCTCCAGATAATGTTTGAGCAATGACACAGGGCTCCAGATAATGTTTGAGCAATGACACAGGGCTCCAGATAATGTTTGATTATTGCATCAAGGCTCCATATAATGTTTTGAGCATTGCACAGGGCTCCATATAATGTTTTATGAATTGCACAGGGCTCCATATAATGTTTTATGAATTGCATCAAGGCTCCATATAATGTTTTATGAATTGCACAGGGCTCCATATAATGTTTTATGAATTGCATCAAGGCTCCATATAATGTTTTATGAATTGCACAGGGTTCCATATTATGTTTTATGAATTGCACAGGGTTCCATATAATGTTTTATGAATTGTACAGGGTTCAATATAATGTTTTATGAATTGCACAGGGTTCCATATAATGTTTTATGAATTGCATCAAGGCTCCATGTAATGTTTGAGCATTGCATTAAGGTTCCATGTAATGTTTGAGCACTGCATCATGGCTCCAATTTAAGTTTGTGAATTGCATCAAGGTTCCATATAATGTCTTGAGCATTGCACAGAGCTCCATATAATGTTTTATGAATTGCATCAAGGCTCCATATAATGTTTTGAGCATTGCACAGGGCTCCATATAATGTTTTATGAATTGCATTAAGGCTCCATGTAATGTTTTATGAATTGCTTCAAGGCTCCATGTAATGTTTGAGCATTGCATCAAGGCTCCATGTAATGTTTGAGCATTGCATCAAGGCTCCATGTAATGTTTTATGAATTGCTTCAAGGCTCCATGTAATGTTTGAGCATTGCATCAAGGCTCCATGTAATGTTTTATGAATTGCTTCAAGGCTCCATGTAATGTTTGAGCACTGCATCATTGCTCCAATTTAAGTTTGTGAATTGCATCAGGCCTCCCTAGAATGTTTTGAGAATTGCACAGGGCTCCAAATAAATTTTTGAGCATTGCTGAGGTCTGAAATTCATTGGGTAATGGTGATTTATTGTGTGTATTTCTGCATTGGAATAGAATTAGTTTGGGAAGAATTATTCATGACATATTTATGAAGACGGTGGTCCGAGTGTGAAGACAGATGGTATTTGAGATTTATACATTCACATGGAATCATCAGCAGGGAAAAGGTTGTCACGATTTGTGACATTGGAATATTAAAGCAACCTTTCATCTTTCTGACACATTGATTATTGAAAGAAATTAAGAAAAGGAGCAACGTCCTTTCGAAATGATTGCTAAACTGTATTCTGAATAAGGCAGCTTATCATTGTCTGTTTGTTAGATGTGAACATGAAGATGCAAAAGGGATGGGGATATACATAAAATGAATAATGTTTGAATATGTAAAATGATGACTTCAATACCTGATATCAAGGCCCAGCCATAGCCCTCGTCAGCTGCAGCATTTTGTGAATAGATTGTCAGTGTTTCAATTACCTTGATTCAAACTTCGGGACTTTGGGTTGGTGTTTGAGAATACTAATTCATGTGGTACGCATTTATGCCCCAATACAGCTAAAAATCATATAAGTCATTTGTAGCATGTCATTACAATTGTTACAGTAAGTTCACATGGAATAGGATTATTTGTTTATATGGAATGCTAATAGTTTTTCCTAGTCTGTCATACAGACCCTGAGAGTCCATGCAAGTCTAATGTTTGGCAAGTCTAGATTTTAGTATCTAAAAATGAAGAGAGTTTCTGGGCTCCTTTTGATTTTGTTTTTAATTTGATAATTTAACAACTGTTGTTTTTTCAGTAAGATATGTTCATTTGGGAATAGTTGTTAGTCTAAGTTTTTTCCTTCATAGGTTCAAGCACTGGTATCAGCGCAAAATGGCAGCTGCTCCCAGACCTAGACTTGCACAGGTCTCTTAAGCAATACTTATTAGTTTATCTAGACTTGCCTATGAGGGGGATAAAATTACTACACTTCCATGGACTTTTCTTTCAGTGCAGCCTTGGAGCAAGGCTACTCACAGGCCTTGCAGTACCTTGTCTTGCCATGTCTGCATCCTGAGTATCAGCTGATTAGGTGGGACAAGTCTTGGTTCATTTAAAGAGTATCTTGAATGTCAACTCGAATCTTCTAGCACTTTCTGATACACAAGGAGCATTTAGCAGGCTTAAATTCCTATACCAACATTGTACTCTTCATTGATTTTGATTGTAGAGAGCTTTGTTGTTTTCAATGCAAAGAAGTGTGGAATTGGTTTCGCGCCTTTGAAAACTGAACCATCCCTTGCATCAAGAATAAATGTCTATGAATTCTTCAGTCATTTGCTTCCTCGAAGATCATGTTGTATTTTGTGAGACGGACATCTTCCATCCTGCTTGCACAAGAGCAGGTTCTGTGGAGACAGATCTTCTAATGCTGCAACTATCAGTTACCAGTAATATGATGTCAGACAACTGCACCCACTTATTGGCCATGAAGCTGTCATATTTACCATGTCTGTTCTCTAAGCCCTACCGATGAAGGTATGTGTCTGGTATTTCTGCATTGCAGCCGTTTGGGAGGAATTCAAAACATGCATCAAGAATGTGTCCGAGTTACATTAGAAATAGCATGTCTAAAACATTACCCAAACTGACAGAAATTGGGTTCAGGTTTCCCTACATCCAGAAGCCAAGCCTATAGATAACTGAAGTCAGTAGGTCTGTGTACCCTCCCAGCCTCGGTGTGATGTAGCCAAGTGTGTGATGCAACAAGACTCGCTCTAACATCTGATTGTTGTATCCAGCTGGCCTTGTCAGGTGCATGGCAGCGTCTACTCATCCAGGATCTGGCTGCGCTGACGCAGGTGCTGTTACTGACGTCATCCTCCCTGTACTACCCCCAAACAACCTTCCTTGGTTATACAAGTCTTTATCCAGCATTCCCATCTCGGCAGCCATGTAACCTTAAATAGCTCTAGCACTTGTCTCTTTAATACACTTTGTTATTTTTAGATCAGGCAAGACCAAAATATTTTCTTGTTTTGTTGATGAGTCTGTTCTTCAAGTTTATTCATTTGTGGTATTGTATTTTTGTTATTCTTTATTTTACAAGTTTTAGGTGTTTTTGTGCTGGTGACAATTTTTCTCTATCTGCCCAGTTTAGGTGTCATCATGGCCTCTATGGTGCTGAGATGGGGATCAAATGGCGACAACTACTCTCTGTTGCCCCTCTTTCATGGCCTCTATGGTGCCGAGATGGGATCAAATGGTGACAACTACTCTCTGTTGCCCCTCTTTCATGACCACTATGGTGCCGAGATGGTGATCAAATGGTGACAACTACTCTCTGCTGCCCCTCTTTCATGGCCACTATGGTGCCGAGATGGTGATCAAATGGTGACAACTACTCTCTGCTGCCCCTCTTTCATGGCCTCTATGGTGCCTAGATGGGATCATATGGCGACAACTACTCACTGCTGCCCTCTTTCAAGGCCTCTATGGTGCCGAGATGGGATCAAATGGTGACAACTACTCTCTGCTGCCCCTCTTTCATGGCCTCTATGGTGCCTAGATGGGATCATATGGCGACAACTACTCACTGCTGCCCTCTTTCAAGGCCTCTATGGTGCCGAGATGGGATCAAATGGTGACAACTACTCTCTGCTGCCCTCTTTCATGGCCTCTATGGTGCCGAGATGGGGATCAAATGGTGACAACTACTCTCTGTTGCCCCTCTTTCATGGCCTCTATGGTGCCGAGATGGTGATCAAATGGTGACAACTACTCTGCTGCCCTCTTTCATGGCCTCTATGGTGCCCAGATTGGATCAA